AGAATGCCTTGAATTTTGAGTTTTAATAGATTAATAAATCACGTGCGTGCACTCTGTGTGTGATTTGGTGATATACTTGATAATGTCAGATCTCACATCATTACAACAGCACTTACCATATTATCGCAGATATAGCCTACTGTATATCACACACCACAGACTCGACTTGAGTGGAAATGAATCATCCGCGGTTGTGCGGCACTTGTTTGCACATGAGCATGAGTCTAACTTCCAGACGCCAGACCACTGATTCATCAAACCTGCTTTCCTGCAGTCCGTGTTCTTCTGACTTCTGACTATTTTGTAGTAAGTAACGAATATGCTTCGGGGAAATGTGTCGGAGTAAACGTATACATTTTAATTAGGAAATATAGTGGAGTAAAAGTTGACTGAAATATAAAAATAATATGCTTCGGGGAAATGTATCGGAGTAAAAGTATAAATTTTAATTAGGAAATGTAGTGAAGTAAAAGTTGGCTGAAATATAAAAACTCAAGTAAAGTACAGATACTCCCAAAAAATACTTAAGTACTGTAACGAAGTATTATTACTTCATTACATTACACCACTGTGAGTGTGTGTGTGTGTGTGTGTGTGTGTGTGTGTCTGACCTGAGCTGAATCCCGCTGTGGCCGGCAGACATGTGCCCATGGGGCCGATGGGATATCGCAGTCTGGAAACCAGCCCTGATCAAACACAGACAGATCATCAGCAGCTCGTCGCAGCAGAACCACAGAGCAGAGGTGAACAGAATTACCTGCTGCATTGTGTCTGTGGTAGTTGATGAGTTCAGGAATAGAGCCGAACACGTGATTCTCTGCCAAGAAGAACTGAGCCGTGTCTGTCTGTTTGATCTGGTAGTGCCTCACCTCCCCTTTACCTGAACTGATCAATCAATCAATCAATCCATCAGTCAGCAGATCAGGCGATCAGTCAGCGAACTGATGGAGAATCTTTACCTGTGTGTGTAAACGGAGACGGTGTAGCTGCTGGGCTGACTGGAGCTCCTGACCACAAACCCTCCGTCCTTCCCCTGAAACACACGAGGAAGATGATACAGATGTTGATGATGACGATGATGATGGATCAATTACTGATGATTGACTTCTTTACCTCTTGTCTAAGCAAATGTTCTGCTTCAGCTCTGTTGATGTTCTTGCAGTACCAGCTGATGAAGATCATCATCATCATAACACACACACACACACACACATATATATGAACACTGTCAGTGACCAGTGAGCTCTGAATGAACTGATGCAAATCTGGAGATTATTAAAGAGTGATTCTATAGTGACTCTAACTGGTTAAAGAGATCTGAAGTGATTCTGATTGGAGTGACTCTAATTGGTTAAAGAGATCTGGAGTGATTCCGATTGGAGTAACTCTAATTGGTTAAAGAGATCTGAAGTGATTCTGATTGGAGTGACTCTAATTGGTTAAAGAGATCTGGAGTGATTCCGATTGGAGTAACTCTAATTGGTTAAAGAGATCTGAAGTGATTCTGATTGGTGTGACTCTAATTGGTTAAAGAGATCTGGAGTGATTCTAATTGGAGTGACTCTAATTGGTTAAAGAGATCTAGAGTGATTCTGATTGGAGTGACTCTGGTTGGTTAAAGAGATCTGGAGTGATTCTGATTGGAGTGACTCTAATTGGTTAGAGATCTGGAGATGTGGAATGACTCTGATTGATTAAAGAGATCTGGAGTAATTCAGATTGGAATGACTCTGATTGGTTAAAGAGATCTGGAGTGATTCTAATTGGAGTGACTCTGAGATGTGGAATGACTGACTGATTAAAGAGATCTGGAGTAATTCAGATTGGAATGACTCTGATTGGTTAAAGAGATCTGGAGTGATTCCGATTGGAGTGGCGCTGATTGGTTAAAGAGATCTGGAGTGATTCTAATTGGAGTGACTCTAATTGGTTAAAGAGATTTAGAGTGATTCTGATTGGAGTGACTCTGGTTGGTTAAAGAGATCCGGAGTGATTCTGATTGGAGTGACTCTAATTGGTTAAAGAGATATGGAGTGATTCCGATTGGAGTGATTCTAATTGGTTAAAGAGATCTAGAGTGATTCTGATTGGAGTGACTCTGGTTGGTTAAAGAGATCTGGAGTAACTGATTGGAGTGACTCTAATTGGTTAAAGAGATCTGTAGTGATTCTGATTGCAGTGACTCTAATTGGTTAAAGAGATCTGGAGTAATTCAGATTTGAATGACTCTGATTGGTTAAAGAGATCTGGAGTGATTCTAATTGGAGTGACTCTAATTGGTTAAAGAGATCTAGAGTGATTCTGATTGGAGTGACTCTAATTGGTTAAAGAGATCTGGAGTGATTCTGATTGGAGTGACTCTGATTGGTTAAAGATATCTGGAGTGACTCTGATTGGTTAAAGAGATCTGGAATGACTCTAATCGGTTAAAGACATCTGTAGTAATTCCGATTGGAGTGACTCTGATTGGTTAAAGAGATCTGGAGTGATTCTAATTGGAGTGACTCTGATTGGTTAAAGAGATCTGGAATTACTCTGATTGGTTAAAGAGATCTGTAATAATTCAGATTGGAGTGACTCTGATTGGTTAAAGAGATCTGGAGTAACTGATTGGATAAAGAGATGTGGAATGACTCTTATTGGTTAAAGAGATCTAGAGTGATTCCGATTGGAGTGACTCTGATTGGTTAAAGAGATCTGGAATTACTCTGATTGGTTAAAGAGATCTGTAATAATTCAGATTGGAGTGACTCTGATTGGTTAAAGAGATCTGGAATTACTCTGATTGGTTAAAGAGATCTGTAATAATTCAGATTGGAGTGACTCTGATTGGTTAAAGAGATCTGTAATAATTCAGATTGGAGTGACTCTGATTGGTTAAAGAGATCTGTAATAATTCAGATTGGAGTGACTCTGATTGGTTAAAGAGATCTGTAATAATTCAGATTGGAGTGACTCTGATTGGTTAAAGAGATCTGTAATAATTCAGATTGGAGTGACTCTGATTGGTTAAAGAGATCTGTAGTAATTCTGATTGGAGTGACTCTGATTGGTTAAAGAGATCTGGAGTAACTGATTGGATAAAGAGATGTGGAATGACTCTTATTGGTTAAAGAGATCTAGAGTGATTCCGATTGGAGTGACTCTGATTGGTTAAAGAGATCTGTAGTATTTCCAATTACTCTGATTGGTTAAGGAGATCTGTAGTAATTCTGATTGGAGTGACTCTGATTGGTTAAGGAGATCTGGAGTGATTCTGATTGGTTAAAGAGATCTGAAGTGATTCTGATTGGAAGAGATCTGGAGTGACTCTGGTTGGTTAAAGAGATCTGTAGCAATTCTGATTGGTTAAAGAGATCTGGAGTTATTATGGTGGGTTAAAAAGATCTGGAGTGATTCTGATTGGTTAAAAATATCTGGAATGACTCTGATTGGAATAACTCTGATTGGTTAAAGAGATCTGGAGTGATTCTAATTGGAGTGACTCTGATTGGTTAAAGAGATCTGGAGTGACTCTGATTGGTTAAAGAGATCTGTAGTAATTCTGATTGGAGTGACTCTGATTGGTTAAGGAGATCTGGAGTGATTCTGATTGCTTAAAGAGATCTGAAGTGATTCTGATTGGAAGAGATCTGGAGTGACTCTGATTGGTTAAAGAGATCTGTAGTGATTCTGATTGGAGTGACTCTGATTGGTTAAAGAGATCTGGAGTGACTCTGATTGGAATAACTCTGATTGGTTAAAGAGATCTGGAGTGATTCTAATTGGAGTGACTCTGATTGGTTAAAGAGATCTGCAGTGACTCTGATTGGTTAAAGAGATCTGTAGTGATTCTGATTGGAGTGACTCTGATTGGTTAAAGAGATCTGGAGTGACTCTGATTAGTTAAAGAGATCTGGATTGACCCTGACTGGAATGACTCTGATTGGTTAAAGAGATCTGGAGTGATTCAAATTGGAGTTTACTCTGATTGGTTAAAGAGATCTGGAGTGACTCTGATTGGTTAAAGAGATCTGGAATGACATCTGATTGGTTAAAGAGATCTGTAGTCATTCTGATTGGAGTGACTCTGATTGGTTAAAGAGATCTGAAGTGATTCTGATTGGTTAAAGAGATCTGGAGTGATTCTGATTGGTTAAAGAGATCTGGAGTGATTCTGATTGGAAGAGATCTGGAGTGATTCTGATTAGTTAAAGAGCTCTGGAGTGACTCTGATTAGTTAAAGAGATGTGGAAGTACTCTGATTGGTTGATACTCACTCATTGGCCTCTATAGTTCCAATTTCTGTAACATAGTTACTGGGAATGAAGCCCTTGTTCCTGAGAGAGAGAATCAGCAGAGATCAGCACATCTGAACTCAAGAAACACACACACACACATTCACTCACTCACACACACACACACACACACACACACACACACACACTCACCCGTGCTTGTCTTTGGCTCTCCACCACAGCTGGTGTTGTTTGTGGAGGATGATGTACGTCTCTCCATGACGAAGCGTCAGGTCTGAACTCTCTCTTGCCGTGAAGTCGTATATGGCCACCACCTTCATCACACCAATATCATCATCCTCAGGAGGAGACGGAGGGAGCTTCTTCTGAGACAGCTGACTCTGGGACACGAGGAGAGAACCATTGCAGGAGCACAGAATGAACGAGTGAATCACTGAACGAACGAACAGATGACCGCATACCATATAGACGGATCCTGGATATCTGCTGTGGTTCACATCCACACGAGTGCTGCTTCTGAGAGACACAGAGATCACGGCTCATCACTGTCTCACACACCTGCCTTGAGCAGCCCTACTATTTGTTTATGAGTTTTGAGAATGATGATGCTTTAGATGATGTCACCACCAGCAGCTCTTAATGCAACGGTTATGAGGAACATCATTCATACTAATCATGTGACCTGACATAATTTTATTTCAGACAAGCAGGAAAATAAAGCGTGTGGAGCACAAATGAAGGAACAGCAGGATGAATGTCAGCTGAACATCATCAGCTGTTCCTAGCGATGGTTTCATTCTAATGGTGTTGTGACCTTTGACCTCTGGTTCCAGTTCTGTGGTGGAAACATGTGCTTCATACCTGGTCTGTAGAGCACAGCAGCAGCAGCAGAAGATGGAGTGAATGGACTGATCTGGAGGAGAGAAACACAGATGATGAGCTGCAGAAACACAGATGGAGGACGACTGTCTGCTCACAAAACCAGCCCAGACAAAACACTTGCTTCAGAGGATCTTCTAAAGCTTTGCTTATCCTTACTGCAGCTTTATTTTGTAGTTTAACATCATCACTTTCATTTAATTAATTCCTACAGGATTCAGAAGCATTAACAGAACATTAGTGTAGGGTTCACCTTCAAACAAGATTCACTCAGAAATGGCTGGCAAGTTTCACAAATAATCTGGCAAGTAGGCCTACACATTGAATTAAAAGTGAAATTTTGAAGTAGAAAGACTAATATGTGACCCTGGAGCACAAAAGCAGTCTTAAGTCGCTGGGGTATATTTGTAGCAATAGCCAACAATACATTGTATGGGTCAAAATTATCCATTTTTCTTTTATGCCAAAAATCATTACCAATGACAAGACCAACTGTTAAAACCATACAAGTCTGGAGTGTGGAGGCCATCTCAGTGCTTCAGGACTGCTTTGAATGCACTGACTGGGGAGTGTTTAAAGAGAATGCGGATATAGAGGAGTACACCTCGTCTGTTCTAGCCTATTTATATTTCTGCACGCACTCCATGCTGCCCACTAAATCCATCAGAGTGTTTCCTAACCAGAAACCGTGGCTGGACAGTACGGTGCGGTCTTTGCTTAAAGCCCGAGATGTTGCCTATAGGTCAGGTGACCTGCTGGCCTGCAGGAGAGCCCGGAGAGATCTGAAGAAAGGCATACAGGAGGCTAAACACAGGTACAAGAAACGTATTGAGGGACACTTTGATAACAACAACCCCCGGCATCTGTGGAGAGGTATTAAAGCCATAACAGACTACAGGGGCAGCAAGCAGATGATCAGCCAGGATCAGGCACTCCCTGACACCCTGAATCAGTTCTTTGCCCACTTCGACTCACAAGGTGGGAAGAGACAGCTCAGCTGTCCCAGTTTGAAGAACAGATCGAATCCTCCATTATTGTACCTGTGCCTGAAAAGTCAGCTGTTACCTGCCTCAATGACTATCTCCCAGTGGCTTTGACCCCTGTCATTATGAAATGCTTCGAGAGGCTTATTCTGCAGCACATTAAGAATTGTATCTCCGGAATTAGACAGCTACCAGTTTGCTTACAGGGAGAATCAATCTACGGAAGACGCAGTCATCATAGTACTCCACACAGCCCTTTCCCATCTGGAGATGTCAAATACATATGTCAGGATGCTATTAGTCGATTTTAGCTCCGCTTTTAATTCAATAATCCCCCACAAACTGGTACAGAAACTCTACAATTTGGGCCTGTCCACCTCATTGTGCTTATGGATCAGAGACTTTCATAACAACATACCCGACGAGGCTATTGAACTGGAGGGAGAACTGAGTGCTTCAACTTCCCGACCAGGGACAACAATATTTTGGACCAGGTCTATATGAACATCCCAGGGGCATATAAAGCTGCAGCATCTCCGCATCTTGGCATGTCAGACCACATCTCGCTGGAAATGATACCGACCTACAGACCTCTTATCTGCTGATCAAGACCAACTGTTAAAACCATACAAGTCTGGAGTGTGGAGGCCATCTCAGTGCTTCAGGACTGCTTTGAATGCACTGACTGGGGAGTGTTTAAAGAGAATGCGGATATAGAGGAGTACGCCTCGTCTGTTCTGTCCTATTTATATTTCTGCACGCACTCCGTGCTGCCCACTAAATCCATCAGAGTGTTTCCTAACCAGAAACCGTGGCTGGACAGTACGGTGCGGTCTTTGCTTAAAGCCCGAGATGTTGCCTATAGGTCAGGTGACCTGCTGGCCTACAGGAGAGCCCGGAGAGATCTGAAGAAAGGCATACAGGAGGCTAAACACAGGTACAAGAAACGTATTGAGGGACACTTTGATAACAACAACCCCCGGCATCTGTAGAGAGGTATTAAAGCCATAACAGACTACAGGGGCAGCAAGCAGATGATCAGCCAGGATCAGGCACTCCCTGACACCCTGAATCAGTTCTTTGCCCACTTCGACTCACAAGGTGGGAAGAGACAGCTCAGCTGTCCCAGTTTGAAGAACAGATCGAATCCTCCATTATTGTACCTGTGCCTGAAAAGTCAGCTGTTACCTGCCTCAATGACTATCTCCCAGTGGCTTTGACCCCTGTCATTATGAAATGCTTCGAGAGGCTTATTCTGCAGCACATTAAGAACATTGTATCTCCGGAATTAGACAGCTACCAGTTTGCTTACAGGGAGAATCAATCTACGGAAGACGCAGTCATCATAGTACTCCACACAGCCCTTTCCCATCTGGAGATGTCAAATACATATGTCAGGATGCTATTAGTCGATTTTAGCTCCGCTTTTAATTCAATAATCCCCCACAAACTGGTACAGAAACTCTACAATTTGGGCCTGTCCGCCTCATTGTGCTTATGGATCAGAGACTTTCTAACCAACAGGCCACAAGTAGTAAGAGTAGAGGACAACACATCGTCTTCCCTCATTCTGAACACAGGAGCTCCGCGAGGATGCGTGCTCAGTCCAGCACTCTTTACTCTCTTCACACATGACTGTAAAATGACTATTTAGTTAGTTTTCGCTTAAAACAAGTAAAAATATTTGCCAATGGGGTAAGAAACATAATCTTAATTCAAAGACTAAACAAGATTATGTTTCTTACCCCATTGGCAAATATTTTTGCTTCTTTTAAGCAAAACTAACAAAATTTGGATATTTTTTTCAGAAGACAAGACGTAACATCTTAAGTATTTTTACTTGTCAAGTAAATGCATCCTGATTCAAGAGTTTGTAGATATTTATACTAGAAAACAAGACAAAAATACTAAGGAAGAAAATCATTTTTTGCAGTGTAGTGTATTCTTGTTTTATCAATCATGTACCAGCATCCAAAATCAATTAGCCTTTACAGAATCCTCTTTAACATAAGTTATAGCAGTCAAAGCAACAAATAACGTTATCAAAGTGTGTTGCCAAATCCTACAACGTTACGAATGTCACATAAAACATGCAAATTGATGACAGAAACACAAGATCTTCAGCATCTGTGTGTGAGAACAGAATGTTTCTCTAGAACAAGTGTGAGAAGTGGCTTGAGCTGCAACACAATGACCAGCTGCACAAACCACAGGCTTCCTGTCAACAGAAAGGTGAAGAGCGACCGCTGCGAGATCCATCAGCCAACACACGCTTCTGTGAGCATCGCCGGACAAACCTGCTCCAAACGACTGACTGCACTCTTAGAGAATAGCTTTCACTGCCACGGTACCCTTCCAAGAGCCAACATGTCGCTTTAGGTACAAACATGTAGCTTTAAGGTACTAAGATGCACACGTTTTGGGTAAATAAGGTACAAAGGTTTTTTGAAAGGATGACAGCTTTTGTACCTGCTTTCTGCTTTCTGAGAGTGTTGGGAAGTTTGGAAAGCATGCCAAAAATATTGTTTTCCATGAACTGCTCGATTTTTGAAAACATCTGAAACACACATTTAAGTGTTTCATTTATTGCACTTTATCTGTTTGCGTCTGTAGATTTCGATCTTTAGAGTTTTTTTCTCTTACAAACACCAAACTGTACAGTTTTATTCCTCTCTATATTCTGAAGGTTTGTTCATATTTCATTCACACTGATTTATACAACATTTCACTCCTAAAAACATGGTGAAAATGTGTTTGTTTTCTGTCTGTTGACAGTATTTTCTGATTTATGGAGTGATAAAAAGAGAAATTCAGAATCCTCTCTGGAAAAACCTTTAACTCTAATATGACGACAGAATCAGACAAGAATTATGAACCTGGATTCAGATTTCTGTTCTGGAAATATATGCAAATTTAACTAGACAATGCCTCATTTACTTTTTTAAACATAACATTTAGGAAAACTCGTTATACAAAGCAATTAAATTAATGTTCTGTGATGAATCAAACTAAATGAATACAGCTGTACGTGCATCAATGTGCAGAGGAGGGGAGAGTATTTACAGGTGCTATGGAGAAATAAATAATAAATGAATATATGAATAAAGCAAGATTGGGTTCGGGTCCGTTAGGGTTAGAAGTCTTGATTAAAACAAGAACAAATATCTGTCAACGGGGTCAGAAAAAGCAGCTTTGCTTTGAATTCTGGAAATGTATGATAGTTAGTGCATATTTAATTAGACAATGTATCATATGCACGTTTATTGCACATTTCAGAAAACTTATAATCAGTGGGCTGTGTAGTGATCTCTCGTCTGGAGAGGAGGTTCAGGTGAATCTGGGTCGCACACCAACGCTTCACTCTCACTGCTCGAGGGAAATCTCACTTTCCATCATTCAACACAAAGAACTCAAAAATAACTGCAACGGGGGCAAAACTAAAACTGACAAGCAGTCAAGTGCTATGATAACCCTAATGAATAAATCAGTCAGACATGAACAGATCAATAGCTCATGTCCATTGAGTTATAAATAATACTTTTGCATTAGACAAGGTGTGTTAAAGAGACGGTTCACCCACAATAAACATCCCGTCAACAAGACTGACAGAAAACACTATATCACAGGTAATGAAGTCAGCTTTAAATGATGACAGGATGATAATTTCAGGTGAACGATCGTTAGTGTTAGTAATGAAACATTATATACTGTAAGGATGCTACACTGGACAGAGCTGCTGGATGAATGGAGATGTGCTCATATATCAGTCCTCCTGTTAAAGCAGTGCTAATTTTGTCCCTGACACACACACACACACACACACGTGTAAAGCTGCCATATGGATAAACATGACACAAACACACAGGTGTTAAACTGAGAGCTTCAGTCATTCTTCTGCTCAATAATATCATTATTATGATGTGAAATATTCTCATACTCACTGGAGTGAATCATTATACTGCAGTCAATCTGCCAGTCCGCCCTGATACAGCAGACCATGTGTGTGTGTGTGTGAACATGAGACAGGAGGAAAGGGTGACGTACTTCACACACACATTCTCACATACACACACACACATACACAGTCCTTCCGCTACAGGATGTCATGAAGGTGAGTCAAGACAATGATACACTCTCTCTCTCTCTTTCTCTCTCTCTCACACACAC